GGATATTGTTTCCGGGGGGCTCTGGGGGGGTCTGGGGGCTCTGGGGAGGCTCTGAGGGGCTCTGGGGGTCCCTGCTGAGGCTCTCCCCCAGGCTGCACATCGGCAAGGGCGTGCAGCTGGAGCGGCGGGGCGAGGGCGACGTGTGGATGCGCTGCCGCAGCGACCACGCCGTCTTCGTGCAGAGCTTCTACCTGGACAGGGAGGCGGGCAGAGCGCCCGGCGACGCCGTGCACAAGGTGTACCCCGGGGCACACATCAAGGTGGGGGTCCCCAGGGCTCCCCAGGGCTCCCCAGAACCCGGGGGGTTCCCCACAGAACCTCGGGGGGATCTGCGCCCGGATTTTCAGAGGTTCTGCGCAGTGGAAGGACCCCAGGGATGGAAGGAGCCCCAAAGGGGATCCCCCCACCCCAAACCCGCCCCGCTCAGGGGTCCCCCCGTGTCCCCCCCAGGTGTTTGACCTGCGGCAGTGCCACCGGCAGATGCAGCAGCAGGCGGCCACTGCCCAGGCTGCGGCCACTGCCCAGGCGGCCGCCGTGGCCGGCAGCATCCCCGGGCCTGGCTCGGTGGGCGGCATCGCCCCGGCCATCGGTGAGTGACCGCGATGGCTGTCCCACCCCCGTGCTGACCCCCGGGGCTGTCCCACCCCCGTGCTGACCGTGTTGTCACCCCTGCCCAGGGCTGTCGGTGGCCGCGGGGCTCGGCGTGGACGACCTGCGGCGCCTGTGCCTCGTTAGGCTGAGCTTCGTTAAGGGCTGGGGGCCCGACTACCCGCGGGCCAGCATCACCTGCACGCCCTGCTGGATCGAGGTGCACCTGCACCGCGCCCTGCAGCTGCTCGACCACGTCCTGCACGCCCTGCCCGACGCCCACGCCTGATCCTGGAAGGGGCAGCCAGAAAAAAAGAGAAAAAAAGGCAAAAAAATGACCAAAAATGTGTTGGTTTAACAGTTATTTAATGGATTGGGTCAGGGCTTGTGGCCTGGGTGTAGTGTGGCCCTCGGTGCTGATTTCCACCTCCTGCTTTAACTTTTGTATGAAAATAAACCAAAAAAACAAAACCAAAAAAACCCAGAATTTTAAAACCAAAAAAAAAAAAGAATTTTAAAAGCCGAAACAAGGGGAAAGGACCAACACCACGTTGTTTAAACCATTATTTAATGGATGGGGTTGGAATCTGTGGCCTGTGACGGATGCTCAGCAGTGCAGTTGTGCCGCCAGATGCGCCTCCAGATGCGTTTCCAGATGTGCTTGCAGCTGCGCTTCCAGCTGCGCGCAAATCCCTTGGGACTACATTTCCCATCAGCCCCCGCGGCGCGCACCGGAAGCGGTCACGCCCTCTCCCAGCGGACTCGGTTTCCCAGCAGCCCCCGCGGCGCCCGTGGCCAAGATGGCGGCGGGGAGCGGCCCCGGGGCGCGGGAGCTCTTTGCTGAGGGGCTCCTGCAGTTCCTGCGGCCCGCCGTGCGACAGCTCGACCGCCACGTCCACAGCGTCAGGTCCGGCCGCGGAGAGCGGCCGCGGAGAGCGGCAGGCAGCGGGGCAGGACGGGCCGGGAGCGCGGCGGGGCGCGGCGGGCCGGGCTGCGAGGCTGAGGGGCAGGGAGAGCCGGGCAGCGCTGTGCTGAAGGGCTTCGGGGGTGCGTGAGGGTGGATTTTGGGGCTGAAGGGCTTCGGGGGTGCGTGAGGGTGAATTTTGGGGCTGAAGGGCTTCGGGGGTGCGTGAGGGTGGATTTTGGGGCTGAAAGGCTTTTGGGGTGCGTGAGGGTGAATTTTGGGGCTGAAGGGCTTTTGGGAGTATGTGAGGGTGAATTTTGGGGCTGAAGGGCTTTGGGGATGCGTGAGGGTGAATTTTGGGGTTGAAGAGCTTTGGGGGTTCGTGAGGTGGGCAATTCTTGGGGTTGGTGGCTGGGGGATGCTGGGTATGAAAGTCCCATACTGGGGGGACAGAGGTGGATTTGGGGTGCGGATCCAGAGATGGATTTGGGGTGTAGATCCAGAGGTGGATTTGGGGTGCCGATCCCGAGGTGGATTTGGGGTGTGGATCCCGAGGTGGAATTGGGGTGCGGATCCAGAGCTGGATTTGGGGTGCAGATCCAGAGGTGGATTTGGGGTGCGGATCCAGAGCTGGATTTGGGGTGCAGATCCAGAGGTGGATTTGGGGTGTGGATCCCGAGGTGGATTTGGGGTGCGGATCCAGAGCTGGATGTGGGGTGCAGATCCAGAGGTGGATTTGGGGTGCCGATCCCGAGGTGGATTTGGGGTGTGGATCCCGAGGTGGATTTGGGGGGCGGATCCAGAGGTGGATTTGGGGGGTAGATCCAGAGGAGGATTTGGGGGGTGGATCCAGAGCTGGATTTGGGGTGCGGATCCCGAGGTGGATTTGGGGTGTGGATCCAGAGCTGGATTTGGGGTGTGGATCCAGAGGTGGATTTGGGGTGTGGATCCAGAGCTGGATTTGGGGTGCGGATTCAGAGGTGGATTTGGGGTGTGGATCCAGAGCTGGATTTGGGGTGCGGATCCAGAGGTGGATTTGGGGTGTGGATCCAGGGTTTTACCTGTCCCCCTTGCCCAGGGAGAGCCAGGTGGAGCTGCGGGAGCACATCGACAGCCTGGCCACAGGTGAGCCAAAGCCGGGGGGCCACCCCTGTCCCCCTCAGCACGGGGACACGGGGGGCTCACCCAAACCCCTCCCCAGAGCTCTGCCGCATCAACGAGGACCAGAAAGTGGCGCTGGACCTCGACCCCTACGTGAAGAAGCTGCTGAACGCCCGGCGCCGCGTGGTGCTGGTCAACAACATCCTGCAGAACGCCCAGGTGAGGGGGCACAGGGGGCTGGGGGTCCCGGAGCCCCCCCAGGGGCTGACAGCTGAATTTTGTCCTGTGCAGGAGCGGCTGCGGAGGCTGAACCACAGCGTGGCCAAGGAGACGGTGAGGAGGAGAGCCATGCTGGAGGCCGGGGGCTACCAGGGCAAGTGAGCAGCCAGGAGAGCAGGTGACCAGCCAGGGGAGCAGGAATCCCTGTTTATCCCAGCTCAGGAATTGAGGGGATGTCCCCCATCACCTGCAGCTGAGGGAGCCGGGACGCTCCGAGCCCTGTGCCCGGATTTGTGGGCGCTGGAATAAAAGTGACTGAGAGTTTGTGATGTTCCCACGTCCCTGAGGGGCCTCGGGGACAACAGAGCCGGGCAGGTGCTGCCAGGAGGGTCTGGCACCTCCAGGTTGGATTTGGACACCCCCAGGTGGAATTTGGGAGGCCCAGGTGGGGTTTGGGCTGCCCCAAGTGGGGTGTGGGCAGCCCCTGGGGGCTCCTTCAAGTCTTGGATCCTTCTGCTGCTGCCCCACCCGCCTCATTCCCATCTATCCCACACGGACCTGAGCAAGGACACGCTGGAAAGGGGGGACACTTTAATGTGCAACGTACAAAACGGGGACAGGGGACAGGGACACGTCAGGTGAGCGAGGAGGGACGCCCGGGCCGGTGTCCCCTCACCTGCTGCAGGTGTCACTCCTGCGTCTCCATGCTCTCCTCCTCCTCGCCCGCCGCCGGCTCCTCCTGGTTCTCCTCCTCCTCCTCCCCTTCCTTCTTCTCCGGAGGTTTCTCGTACGCCTTCTCCGACGGCGTCACGATCACCCCGTCCCACGTGGACATCTCGGAGGCCAGGTCTGCCCCAAGAGGTGACCCTGGGCGCCCGCTCGGGGGGACCCCAGCCCCGTCCCCACCCGGACACCCCCCAGCCCCACTCACAGCTGGCGTCACCCTCCTGTCCCAGGATTTTCCGGTACCCTCCGTGGGACAGGATGCGCACGAGGGTCTGGGCGGTGTAGCACACCATGTCCTGGGGATGGGCACGGGTCAGTGTGGGGACAGGGACCCCCCCCGAGCCCCCTGCCCTTCGGGGACCCCTCCTCACCTGCTGCTCCAGCGTCATCACCGTGTGCACGCGGAAGTTGCCGCTCTCGCACGGATCCGTGATGCCGACGGAGCCGGGCAGGAAGAGCCCGGCCGCCAGGATCTGGAGGCAGCGCCTGCACAGGGACATTCTGGCTTAAAACTGCATCCTTCCAGCAAAAACACCACCAGGAAATCCCAGCCAGAGCAGCTGGACTGATCTCCCAGTCAGCCCGTGAGATTCCAATGGTTTTGTCAGGAAAACGGAGCCACAATGGAATTTCTGCAGTGGAAATGCCACGGACCTGTAGGCGATGTTGAGGGCCAGGGGCTGCCGGGTGGGATTGTTCATCACGGCGTAGTGCCCCTGGAGAGGACAGGGGCAGCAATCAGGGCAGGAAGAACAGAAGAATCCCAGCCTGGGGCCAGAATCCCAGCTCCTGCCGGGATCAGGATCAGCACCACATCGGTGACCCCACCAGCAGGTCCAGGATCCAGGGCGTGAGCGGCTCGAAGCCGGGGAAGCGAATCCTCAGGTCCTTCAGCAGCCGGATCAGGACCTTCACCCTGGAGCAGAGGCAGGAGGAGGCTCAGTCCCACACTGGGACCATGCTCTGTTCCCACGTTCTCGGGAATGAGGATCTGGATCCAGAAAGAAGATCTGGATCCAGAGTGAGAATTTACTCAAAAATCCAAAAGGTGGAATTGAATCCAGAATTAGGATCTGGATCCAGAAAGAGGATCTAGATCAAGAATGAGAATTTACATCCAAAAGGTGGAATTGAATCTAGAATGAGGATCAGGACCCAGAAGGAGGAGCTGGATCCAGAACAAGGATTAGGACCCAAAATGAGTATCTGGACCAAGGAGTATCTGGATCCAGAACAACGATTTGGACCCAGAAGGAGAATTTGGATCCAGGAGGAGGATCTGGACCCAGAAGGAAGATCTGGATCCAGGAGGAGGATCTGGACACAGAAGGAGGATCTGGATCCAGAAGGAAGATCTGGACCCAGAAGGCAGATTTGGATCCAGAACAAGGATTTGGATCCAGAATAAGGATCTGGACCCAGAAGGAGGATCTGGATCCAGAAGGAGGATTTGGATCCAGAACAAGGACCTGGACCCAGAAGGAGGACCTGGACCCAGAAGGAGGATCTGGACCCAGCCCTGGCTCCGCGTGCCCCGGACTCACGTGGACTGCGAGGCGTTCTCCTCGAACCACCGCGCGTGCCGGATGGCGGCCAGGGCGCTCTGCAGCACCTTGATGTCCACTGCAAGAAGCAGAAATTCCCGGTTTTGCCAGGCGGCCGCGGGCGCCGCGGAGGCTCCGGGCGGGAGGCGCGGCCGGGCGCTCACGGTGCAGCTCCGGGTCCAGCTTGCGCAGGTTGGGCGGCACCGTGGTGATCAGGATCTTCACCGTGGCGTCGGCCGAGCTGATCTCGAAGCCGGTCTCGTTGGTCAGCATGGTCAGGACTGCAAGGAAGGAGCAGGAATTGTGTCTGGAGGGGCCGGGAATCTCCACGGGAACGCGGCCTGGAGCGCGGCCTCACCTTCGCTGGGGTCCTGCGCCCGCAGGCTCTCCACCACCTTGTTCCCCAAGGCTGCCACAGCTTCCACTGGGAAAAAAGAGATGGAAAAGGAGGAGGAGAAAGGTTGGAGCGGGGCCTGGCACCGAGGGCTGCTGTCATCCCGCCCGGGTGGCACTCACAGGTGGGCAGGATCTTCAGGATCACCACCAGATCCGCCACGTTGTGCCCCGTCGTCATTGTGCCCTTCTTGTAGGAGCCCACCTGGCGAACCTCCTCGATTTGCTGGTGGAAAAACAGCCCAAAATCCCAGGAATTCAACCCACACACCACATCTGGGGGCTCAGCACTGAGCCTTAACCCACCCTAGGTTCTTGTAGGAGCCCACCTGGCAAACCTCCATTTGCTGGCACAAAACCAGCTCAAAATCCCGGGAATCCAACCCACATGCCACGTTTGGGGTTCACCATCGAGCCTCAACCCACCCTGGCCAGGAGCATCCTCCCATTTTCCAGTCCCACCACTCTGGGCCTCATGGAGCTCCTTTCCCAAGCTCTGCACTCACCACCTCGAACGTTCCCGGTGCCACGATCAAATTATCGATGACGTTGTTGATCTTGGTCACCAGGGACAGGATGGAAGCCTGGGAAGG